CCAGGAGATCTGGTATTCATTAATTGATTTCGTACTTGTTTCAACTCCCAAGCACGAGATTATTCTTGATTGGAAAAGTGTTTAGGCAATATTACATTCCTATCCATGAAGCTAGCTAATAAGATTTCCAGATGAAGATGAAGCCTGTAAGTTGGGCAACCAGGGTAAAGCACTCTACCCTCGTTTTATGGCTGCTGCTAGCTGCCTAACCTCTAGTATTTTCTTTTTGAGACATCCAAATATTCTATAAACCCCACCTGCTGGTTTCCTTTAGTTATCAACTGTGCATGGCTGCCTACCTTCAAATTAACTAGTTACACCGGAGTACACAATTATTACTTTAAATCAATATTGTGCAAAGTTATTAGAATACAATGACAATTGATAATGATGACAAGCCAATAATTTTTAATTTCGGATTGAAGATATGGTTAGGATCACGTTAACATCAGATGACCACAACCTGACAACTGACGAAATGATCCAATGTGCCATTCAATTAATACGTCAACAAATAATAGTTTAGCCTGTCTTAATTTCTCTTTCTTCTTCCCCTTATCTAAACTCTCCTACTCACAACTCACAAGGAAGTTTAACTGTTACCCCTTTCGCTTAATATAGATATATAGAACAATATCATTTTATTGGCGAATGATATTCGTGATAATTTTTTCTCCTCTGTTTCTCAGTCAGCACCAACAAATAATCCCAGTTAAATTAAGCTTTCAATACAATTTCTTGAGGGAAGGAAAGATTAAACTAAAGTCTACATGTACAATGTTTCACCTAATAATAATTAATATCAAGATAATATTACTTTGCCAAGTAAGTTCTTGCTCCCTCGTGACTGAACATATCCAAAACAATGGGCCAAAACCGAAGTCGATTTGGAAGATTTTAAACCACTTGCCTTTATGTCAACAAATGAAGCAGCCTTTTTCCCTGTAAGCATTTAAAGCCCTTGTATTTAATATACAGCAATTTTACATCATACCATTTACCTGCAGCAACTGTTAAACTATTTAACTCAAAGAAATTCTAAGATAAATTTGTTGGTCAAATATAGAACACAGCAGCCATGACAATGATATGCAACAACTTTCAAAATCTAAATAGATGTTTGAACACTGATTTGTCCTGGTAGTTCCAAATATTCCCTTCAACACCTCTTGGAAAATACTCAACAATCACTCATTTAAGGCTGTAGACAATTCGTCAATTTCAACAAGACAAACCTTAATTGTGGATTTTGTTCACATTTGCTTTATGTTATGCAAAGCTGCACACAATACACACCATGTACCAAAATGCTCAAACGTGGAACACTCTGTTTCACTATGTTAGCCAGGGCATCAGCTTACCCTCTCTGTTGAAAATATAATTTGATGAATGGTTAAATAAGTTTTTATAATTAATTATTTTTAATTAAAATATTTTTTAACATTTTATATTTATATAATATTTATATGTTATTAATATAGAGTGTAAAAAATACGATATGATCATACTATCATATCACATCAATATGTCATTTTATTATTTATTATGACGTATCAAAATATCATATCAATAATATTTTATATAAAATGATAAGAGATATATTGATTAAGCCAATCATTAGTTATAAAAATTTATTTGATTAAAAATAAAAATATAAAAATATATTTAATTTAAAATAAAATAAAAAAATTTAATTAAATATAATAAAAATATAAGAGCTATTATATTTTTTTTATTTTCCATCACAATTGCCTCATAAGTGCATATATTTAGATATACTATTTGCATCTTTAACAGCAATTGATGGCAATTATGGATACAAATTAACTTCCTAAAAGACATTGGTATTTTATATGGTGCCAATAGGCATAAACATATTGCAGGAAAAAAAAGAAGAAAAAGTTATATATTCGCCTTGAATATATATTTAGGAAATCAAACCGCTCGACTCTGTAGTACCGCGCTGCAGATACCGCGCCACAAGGCTGGCCTGCAGCGGTGAGTTGCCTAAAATTGGGTAGCTAGGTGATGTTCGGTGAAATGCAATCTGGTAGCGCCTACCAAGCCACCAAGGGTCCTTCCTTGCCACCTAGCTAGAAGCTGCACGGAGCATTAATAAAACCAAGTTTAAGTTCGGGAAATTTTATGAAACATTCGATGGTGTTAATTTTGTAGCTTCAAGCCAAGTATTGTTTGCATGCACTGCAGGGGGGTTTTCTTTTGCTCAAGTCAAGTATTCCAAACCACCGCTCTCTAGTGGCTAAGTTAGCTAGCTAGGCCCTACCACAGAGCCACGTCCGAAACGGCCTGCCCCTAGTGCTGCTACGTATGTCCTCGTAATATAGCTAGCCCCTGGCCTTGACGTAGGAATATTGTATCAGTAAAGAATTTTAGATTACCCTTTTTCAAAAGTAAAAACTACAGTGTAATCAGCTAGGATAATAAAATAGCATTTAGAATTTCCTTTTTAAAAATCTGAACAGTTTTAATTAAGACAAAATGCATTATTTAAAGATAATATTAATTAAGTTGGAATTAATGTTATATCTTAATGAAGTATAATGTTGCTTTTTTATCATTTATATTTTATTCTAATTATTTTCAAAGATCCTTCTCAAAAAAATTATTTTCAAAAATTAAAAAAAAAAACAAAGCGTGGGCATTTGAGGTTTGTTTTGACCGAGAGACACTAATTCAATTATATTTCAACTGCAGTAAAATTTTTATAAATTAATATCTTTAGAATTGTGAAAATTTATTAATTATTTAATATATTATTCAATCAATAAATTAATAATTTATTAATTTATATATTAATTAATAAAAAAATTAATTTATTAAAGTATTGTTTATTTCTTTTCAAAATATTATATTTAATACATCTATTGTATATTATGATTATATAAACATTACTTAATTATTAATTAACAAATTATCATTATTCATGATAAGTAAATTATTGTTAAGGTCATGAAAAGTGACAAAAAAGATAAAGTTGAAAAGTATAATAATTTTGTACTGAAACTTATCTCGTCCAAAGCTGCAATCAAAGTAACAATCGTATTGTATAATTTTTTCTTACAATACAAAAATAATGCATTAAAACTTTTTAATGTATTAAAAAAAGTTAAAGTTGAAGTCTAAAGAGACATTAATTTTAAGTAAAAATAAGTAAAATTAGAATCATCTTTCACAAAAGCTTTTTCATTAAGTTATGTATATATATAATTTTGATGTATAAAGAGATTATTAATTTATATATTAAGTAAGATTTATATATTTTTAAAAAAATATATATATTATTTTATAAATTTAATAAATTATTAATTTATCATATTAATTTCAAATCGAGATGAATTAAAAATATTATTTAATTAAAATTATTAATTTATAAAAATTTTACTATATATATAAAAATTATATTATATTGAGTATATAATTATATTAATTATATATCTCTTTTTTTTTTCATATAAGTAGTACTTATAAAGATGTAGCGCTCCCGCACAGACCAGCAAAAATTTCAAAGCACGTGATGTAAAGGTGTCACGACTTTTTGTTGGTTTAAAGAATATTCAAACACACAGTTTCACTTGGTCCTAGATGTTATACCCTTTCCGTCTCTCTGTTGGAAAAACTGTGCAGTACGACAAATTGCCAGTATTGACCCTTGGCATTCGTACGACCATACGTTATATATCAATTTAGTCAAGCATGATAAAGTTCTACTATATCATATGTTTATTTATGCATAAATGGACATATGAATATTACTTTCGTCTTGTTATTGCATACTTAGATATGAATTTTCTCTGCTTCGGCTCCTCTCTTTTGGCCTTGTTTAGGTCAAAGAGCACGGACTAGCAACAGTTGCAGATTTCCAACTTTCTACATCCATTTGAATCCCATCAATCTTGCTCTGATCGTGCCTCCAAGTGTAAGGAAATAATGGAGCTTATATATCAAATAATATTGGGGAACGAATAGCTTAACTGTGGATTAACATCCTATATGTAATATTAAAAATGGTAAAAACATCCTAAATACATAGTTTATATATACATAAATTATAGATTAATCAAATAGAAATCTAATAAGAAATATTAAAATGTGTAAACTAATCACTGATATATTTACATACATGCTTTCTTTTATAAAAATTAGGCACGGATGGATAACAAATGAGATTATCTAATGATTTTTTTTTTCTTTTTCTCAAATTTGTAAACTTGGTTATTAATACCGAGATTTTGAACTTGCAATATTTTAGCTAAAAATCACATGATCTAGTAAATTCATTGAATATGTGTATCTCCCCAGTTAATTATTCTACAATGATTGATGTATTGATATTAATTAAAGTTGTTTGGAATACAAACATTTTTCACATTAATCAAGATGATCACTCTATATATTGGCACGTGACCACTTAAATGATTATTTTAATTTATGAATTTTATTATTTAAAACCCAACAGGCATGGTGACAATCTTAGTTAAATCTATTTGTGAAGTAAAAATAATAAATGATTGAGGATGTGTAGAATCATTTTTCATTCCTCTTTCATACGGGGATTACTGGGAATTGTGTTGTCTTTTCTCCTCAACCACTTTTCTTGTTGGTTTTCCCCCAAATTAAGAGGCGGAGTTTTGTCATGTTTGTCACAATGTGGTACCAGACATGCCAGAGCTCACGTTTTGTTGCCAAGAGGATGACATACATCGAAGAGCACAACTGAAATTCAGAACGCGTATGCTGACCAGTAAAATGTTTGACTCTACTCAACACGATGAATGAATGTCTAATTAGCTCAATTTAGTTTTTATGTAAACCTATTAGCAATAAACAAAGTTCTCAAAGAAAAGTAGTCATGGACGAACCAGAAATCTGGTCAAAACCAACTAAAATTTATTATAGTGTATAAATAATTTATACCAGTATTAGATTTTGTAGCAATGGCTACCATTACTTTCTTTTCTTACCTATAATCATGAATATGTCTAATATTTACCTCTCTGTTCCACAGAAAAGAAAATAAAAATAATACTATACTAGAAGCATCTTTGTTTTACCAGCTTCTTTACTAATCTCCACTATATATAGATTTTACGTGCGGTTCACGATAGCGGGCATAGGATAAGGGAGATGACTGCCATATCTAGCCATCGGGCCGCCTTTCTGTTTTAAGTTTCTTTTGCATTCTCTCACCGTACAAGCATTTTTCACACTTAATTCGTTTTTCTTCATTATATATATAATTACTATATCATCATCATCTCTCTGCCTCTCTTCTCTCTTTCTGTCTCTGTTTCTTCTGCTTCTTCTCTGTCTTTTTAACATGGAAAATTTTCAGGGATTTTCCCCTAATTCATCGACATTATCAGCATCTTCCTTGTCATTAAACATGACGAATTCGCTTGGTTATGCTGAATTTCAAGGTAACAAGGCTAATGGGCTATTGGGATTAATGGCGGAAATGGAAGGTCCGGCCAGCTTGAATGTGCACAACATTTCTCAGAACAAAACCTTTCCTGAGATCAACAGCTTGGCTGGGACTGAAACTGAAACTGATGTGAAATTCGGTAAGAAAAAGGCAGATAAAAAGATAAGAAAGCCGAGATATGCTTTTCAAACAAGAAGCCAAGTTGATATTCTTGATGATGGCTATAGATGGAGAAAATACGGGCAGAAAGCTGTGAAGAATAACAAATTTCCAAGGTACGCAAAAGGCTCCCCTTCCCCTTGTCAGAGTCTATTCCTTCCTGTTTGATATTTATTAAGTGAATTGTTTCGAGTCTTGGATTTAGCATATCATGGATATCTATCTTAGATGCACATAAAAGAAAGAAAAAAAAAAGTAGCTAGTTCAGAATCTTCAGATTCGAAAAGAGCTCCGACGATTAGGATTTGACCCTTGCTGAAGATATGAACTGTATGTATATTGCATAAAACATGTACTTAAAATCTACAGGATAGAAGTTCGTCAGCTACATATCCAATGTTTCAGAGTAAAAAATAAGGATGCCATATGAAGACTGACTCTGATTGCTGAAAAATGAAGAACAAATTCATTTTATGGCACTGGAATATCCAAATTCATGACCAAAAGAATTAATTACAACTGTATGCAAATTCTTAATCGCTTTGCAAATGTTTCTACTTTTATGGGAAGGTACAGGAGATTATTCGTCCCTTCCATCCTGGAATAAACTGATCCTTTCTTAGAAACCATCAATTGATCAGCTGATTACTTGGTATCATCTAAAGCGTCTTTCAGCAAGTGATGACTCTTTCAGAACATCTTGCTTTCCTGCCAAGGCAATATTGATCAAACAAATATTAAACGCTTTAGTGTCATTGATATGTGATCATGTCCCAACAGTTTGTCTCTGCCTACCTTTTCATTTTTTAGTTCGAACTCAGGATTAAGTACTTGCTAACACACGTACTGCCTGGACAGTTTAGCGAAAGGATGAAGTTGTAAAAAAGAGAGAAAGGAGAAAAATTAAGGAAGAAAGAGGGAAAGGTTGCCAGCCTAAAACCAGAAGGCTTGCACCCTAACTTAGGGCGTTAGGTTGGGCCGGGGTGACCCTGTTTGTCATAGTTTTGTAACTTGCTACTGCCTTCGGCCTAGACAGGCCGCTTTAACTTTAACCTTACATACAGAAGAGTTTCATTAATTAAAGGAGAATAATAAATAGCCAGACAACAACAAAAGCAAGAAGGGCCGAAAGCTTTCAAGCTTATTGAAGCTGTCATGTGGCCATATATAATCCATACACAAGTAGGTGATGGGGGCCATATGCACATTGGCTGCCCATATTCCATGCATCTTGCAAAATTCCACTTCTAAAGCTTCACAAGCATTAAAATTTACAGAAATTAGGCACCACTACCCTAGGAATTGAAATTATATCATCGAACTAGTTGGAAGTGAGATATACTTGAGCAGAGATTCACACTTCTCAGTGTTGGCCTTGTTTAACTTGTTATACCAAAAAATATATAGAAACCGGCTAGGCATGCACTCGGTCATAGACTTGTGCCTGGGTTGTTAAGATTTGCATTTGCTTTAGCAAAGTTTTCCCCTGTTAATGCATATTGTAACCTTCTTGACCCTTGTAATTTAATAATAAAATCTTTGTAACTCTTACTATTTGCTTTTAACTACAATTATTAATTAATGCACTAATAATGGAATTTAAAACTTTCATATATAAGTAATTCATATATTTATGCTGAATCTTTTAGCTGTAAATAGGGAAATTAATATCGAATTATTGAATTAAGTTTATGGTTGGCATATTTTTACTTTGGTCTATGGCAAATCAAGAAGTTATTTTTGCTTATTACAATACTAAACAAAACCTCACTATATCTAGTTAGCACTCTAAATTTACATGCTGTCCCAATGTCAAACATATATAGTACGTGTATGATCTGACTTGGACAAACATGGTCAGTAGATGTCATGATCTTTAGGAATTTTATAAATGGCCATGACCGAAGTGACAGTGAAAAATTTTCCAATTTCTACTTGCTTCATCTGAAGTAGCCAACTCATGGAATGACTTCATTCATTAATTATTTATGACCCTTCAAAATTATCATTTTGCTGTTAAAGTCAACTTCAATGAAATATTTAGGTTGCCTCTATTGACTATAGCTAAATAAATACCAAGGACGAGTATATTCATATGAATACACGTGCATGCATGACAGACACACCACTAATTAAATTATTTTAACCATGCATGCCTTTGAAGTTGTCCAATTATTTCTATGCATGTAATTGAAGTTGGAAATCAATTATTTGGAGCCAAAAATCTCCCAAAACGTCAACTTTTTAGCTCAAATTATATATAAAATTAACATAGTTACCTTTATAAGGCTATGAAATTTGATTCTTAGATTAAGTTATGATAATATGCGTTTACTTTTAGACTTTTTTTCCTTTCTAGAGTTTGTACGGCTTCGTATATCTGAATAGATTAACATTTAAAACGTAATTGATTTAAGTAGAATTATTATTAATTTGTTAGCATATTATTTTTAATTTAATTATTGTTTTGCAGAAGTTACTATCGATGTACACACCAAGGATGTAACGTGAAGAAACAAGTTCAAAGGTTAACCAAAGATGAAGGAATTGTCGTGACAACATACGAAGGCATGCATTCACATCCCATCCAGAAATCTAATGACAACTTTGAGCATATCTTGAGTCAGATGCAAATTTTCACATCCTTTTAAATCAACAAGTAGCAGAAATAGATATTTACATACTCATAAATTATTTGTAAATTAAGAATTATGCATTATATTGAATTAAACCTCAAAATAAAATGCATGTGCTGCCAATAAGAAAATGCCTTTGGGATCATTTCTCAATTCTCATGCACAATGGGAAAATGCTAGGTTTTTGTTTCTCATCTACAGATTCATAGTGATCCACAACAGAGAGAACTTGCATTGTACTGGCAAATAAGAATAAGAAATATGCAATTTACAATTAAAAAGGAATATTTTATTTATTTTGGTTTAATATTCAATGGTGTCAAACTATAAAGCACGTACGCTTAAAGCATTTCAATTTTGAAAGTTTTATTGGCATTAAATTCCAACTGTCATTTTGTTATACTTCTGTGCTGTTGTGATGTATATTCAGCTACTTTCTAATTTTGGAGAAACTGGCAATTAGCACACGTACTAGTTACTTAAGTATGAAATAATGAAACATATGTAGGGTTCTCCATGTGCCCAAGAGTGAGTGAAATTAATTAATATAATAACTAGTTTGGAATCAGATACTGTTCTTTGAACAGTAATTTGCTCTTTTTTGAATTGTTCTAAGTTTACTGTTTTAAGAACAGTAATTATAAGCATCAAATTTTATACCATAAAAGTTTGCAAATTTTGTTTTTGATAAAATAAAAATTTGCAAGTTATAAGATGATAAATTCAATGTTCTTTAAATAAAATGGAATTATACTTGATATTATGGGCACATAGAGGAAAGACACCTCTCAGTGTTTGATAGACCAAGTTGTAAAGGATAGACACTTTTTAAGCATTGATGATCTATCAGATAAACATGTATCATGACGAATGTTTAACATGAATCTTGTCAGAATTTCAATTTCAAATGAATGGGGCCACTATTTGGAGTGTCATCCACATTGGCTTATTTCCAAAACAGATAATTTCTTTATATCAGTTTATCTCTATGATGATAAATCTTCTAATTTATTACTTTTTGAAAAACAAATTAGAATAGAAAGAAATAAAATAGTTTTTTTATGGAAATAGAATAAGGTGGTTTGCGGAATAGAATAAAATAGAATAAACTAATTATTCTATGAGAATAGAATAGAATATGAATAAAATATAATAATTATTATCTCATTTGGTTCATAAAGTAAGAATTGTTATTATAATTTATTCTAATGTTTACTTGGTAAAAATAATTGAAAAATAAATAATAGAATAATAAAACTACCTTTTATTATAATAGGATTTATTTTCATCAAAAACAAAATACCCTTTATATAATTTACTAATGTTTATACCAAAAGACAAAATTAAGTCAACTTTTCTTTTCTAATCATTTAATTTTTATTTCCATTAAAAATGTTTAATTTTTAAATTTAAAATATTAATTTTTTATAATTACTAATTAAAATATTAAACTCTTTATTTTAAATTTTTTTTCTTTGCCTTTCTTTTTCTTTTGCCCAACCGCGGATATGAGGTTAACGTAATGGAATTTTGATGAGGAGCACCACATGGCTGAATCTGACCGCTAGGGCATCAGATCGACGCTTCTCACGACAAGATTAGGTCATGGATTCCAAATTGGATTTGGTTGGAAAACACTAAATCGGCACTTTTCGACCATATCCTACCTTGGAACCACTGTTGTCGCCTCCGCTTGCCACTATTGTCAACACCTCGATGGTAAATGGAGGTTAGGCAGAGAAAGAGAGAAGCAAGAATGGGAATAGAGAGAAAGACAAAGAAAAAATTAGAAGAAAGAAAGAATTTATAAGTCTAAGGTTGCAATTTTTCAAACTTATAAGGCAATTTAGTCCTTAGAATTTTGAAGGCTATTTCAGTAGGTATGGAATAACAAATACCATTAAGGGGTAGGGGAGGGGTGGGATTAGTTAAACTTTATTTTTAGGTGATTTTGGGGATTAACTATTGCAAGAGAATAGCTATTCCTTAGGACATTTGCTAACCAAAAAAGCGAAAAAAGAATACATGGGAATAGAGGGGGAATAGCTTAACTATTGCTCGTACTAAACATGCTATAAAGTTCTTATGAAGTTTAAAGGTCTAGAAGATCCAAAAGACCTAAAAGGCTTAAAAGATCCAAAAGATCTAGAAAACTTAAAAGATCCAAAAGGTCTAAAAGATCAAGATTCAAAAAGATCAAAAAAAATTCTTGAAGCTCAATCTAACTTCGACCCACACCAACACAAATCTCTAAGCCTAGTACAAGAAGGCTTAACCTATTAATATCTAACCTATAACACGATAACATAAGACATACTTTGTCCATATTAAAATTATCATGAGATGCATTGGTATACATGATAACATGCTTGTCATAAGAATGTATGGTATAGACATATGCTATTATTAGGATTGCCACAATTATAATATGGCATATAAATGCATGCTATTGTTAGGATTGTCATAAAAAATAATATGTTATATAGAGATAATATTATACTAGGATTATCATGTCTAGTTTTAAGTATATGTCATGTGAAAATTATGATGATGTTAGGTTTATTCTATTAAGCATGCAAGTCTTAGAATAGTTTCCATAATTTATTATACTACTTTAGCTTTAGGGAATTTTCATCAATTATGTTATGTAGCTTTATGGGATATTTTTGTTATTTATAACACATCATTTTAAGTATATTTTCATCACTTTGTACGTCACGGAGAATTCAAATATTATTAGGAACTTCGAACATCTTTTTAACTATGTAAATTTTCATTTTATTTTCTTTCATGTTTTATCTTCCTCCATGTATAACTTTTTTGCATCATTCTAATGATAAATAGATCACCAAAGTTGCCCCTACATCTCTTTAGATGCACATGTGATAAAACATGAGATAAAAATGTTCATAATTGCTTGAGTTAGTAGGGATTGAGGTGTGCTCTTTAATTTAGAGTTATTAGTAAAGATAGAGGTGTGCTATTTAATTTAGAGCTTTTATTGACTTGATTCAAAGTGAAATAGTAAAGGTTAGGTTTATGTTAAGCAAGATAAGAAACTTTGATTCCTTTTCTTATATCTATCTTCAAACCAAGTCTTCATAACAACAAGACTTATAGCCTTGATACCTACATAATTGGCTTTTGATTTTCACATAAGAAGTAAATGGTGACTCTAAATCTTGCCTTAAATGGCATAATTCTCGAGTTTAGTTAAAGTCTTGATTTGTAAAACCTAAGATTTATATCTGTGTTGTTTATAGTAATCCATAATTTTGTTAATTGTTTTCCATTTCTATTATTTGTACCATTGTAAGAACAACAACAACAACAACAACAACAATAATCAGCCAAATTTTTTCTCTTTTTTACTTCTTTTTTCTTTGTCATGTAATGGGTTTGATGGGTCGAATTTCTATCTATTGGATTGCATAAGCTTTTACTTAATTCTTTGATTTTTGAGTTGCCCAAGTTATAGATGTTTTTCTTCATTTTAGATTCCAATTTTTGATTATTCTTCCTTTCCTTGTATAAGTGACAAGAGTATCACGTATTAACTCTTAAGATTCCAGACCTTAATCAGGCCAACATTGATGTCACTTAAGGCAATATTTGAGTTGGCAATCAATTGTTATTTTGAAATCGAGAATTGATTATACAAGTATAAAGGATACAAGCCTTGTTGTTACCAAAGTATTTGGTTAAAAGATTTGAGTAAGGAATATGGAAAAAAAATCAAACTTTTCAACTTTGCATAGGATAAAGCTAACCTTTAATATTTTGTTTTTTTTCCTCAATCAATCCATTTTATTAATAGAAAATAGCTTAATAGCTTCACAATCCTTACATAAGAGTTGAAAAAAAAAAATCTAAACATTCAAAACATGAATGAAAAACACCCTATTAAGCTCTTTTAAATTAATAAACATTTTCTTAATAGAAGTCCCATTATATTCACCAAACAAAAGAAACACAATGCCACAACAATTAAAGCACCTATTTAACTAGCATGCATGAACCTAATTAGCACAATTAACTCCAAATTCACTAGTGACCTAGTGATCACCACCCACCACTACCTCTTCAAACTGATGTCAATTCTGAAACATTATTCCATAAACATTCTCCATTTGATTCTTAACAAACAGAAATCAATTTCACACTATTGGAATTTGTAGAGAAAATCTCGTAGCAGCTTTTGGTTATGTAATTAATTAGTCCTTCATTCAAATCAAAAACATAGTTTAAGATGACCACCCCACTAAACAACAAAAATGCACCAATTCGAGTCATTGTAATTAACAGTCTTGAGATACCTAAAATTGCATCGCCTTATCTCCATTGAGCTCATTTTCTGCTTCACTTTGCCTTTCATTTTTGTCAAGCTTCATCAAGCTTTCAATAATACTCAATCTTCTCCCAAACTTGTTAAACCCAAACTCTTATAACTTTGGTAGACTTGTTTGACTTGGCTCTCTTTCTTTTAATGTTGATAGAATCATATCCTTTTCCTTTAAACTAATAAGATCCAATTTCTTCCTTAAAGACCATGTAGTTCCTACTTCCTTCTTAACACTTCATTTCGATTCACAAAATCTCCTTAAGAGAGAGACTCATTTACAACCTTTTCTTCTTTTTTTTGTTTCACTTTTTCTTAGGTTTCCTGCCTTTATTTTTAGGCATTTGCCCTTTCTTCCTAACTTTCTTTTATAACTACCTCTCTTTTAATTCTTCATAAAACCTCAACTTACTTGGTTTGCCAACTCCTCTTAATACACTGCCCCTTTATTTTTTGGTTTTCTCTCCAGTCAATTGCTC